GAGATAACCGCCGTCGGATCTCATGAAGCTCGCGCGGATCCAAATGTGGCTTTGGTGTCTGTTTCGGTGGATCCGATTTCCGTCCGTACGGATCCGATTTCGGATTCGCTGGATCCGTGTCCGGTCTTATTTTTTACGGCGGATCCGATTTCTACCCTGTTTTAAATTTATGTTACTAAATTAAAACAGGGAACCAGAAGAAATCGGATCCGCGGACCCCGCAAACCGCCCGTGTTAAGATTCTACGGGGGATGGGGGGGTCGGTAATTAACTTTCCACGATGGGCACTGCGTCGTCTCGTGCACTCCCATCAGCTCCCCGCGCGAGCGGGTGCCGTTCAAAATGAATACATACATCCCTCTCACCCCGGCTGCTGCAAACAACTCGTCTGGTCGCCGTCCGTTCCGGCGCCGACGTTGTCTCGCGAACTCCTCATGGCAGTTTCACCTCAAGAGGAAAATCTTTCGTCCTGCGTAAGTGCGTTTCGGCCCTGCGTCTCCTCACCCGACGGACTGCCTGTGAGATGTGGTGTCGGCTGTGCGGTAACCAACAACGGATTGCGTGTGAGATGCGGTGTGTCGGCTATGTGGTAACCAACGTGTCCGAAGGCCACAACGCTCAGGTGCGTTTCGGCCCTGCGTCTTCTCACCCAACGGACTGCCTGTGAGATGTGGTGTCGGCTGTGCGGTAACCAACAACGGATTGCGTGTGAGATGTGGTGTGTCGGCTACGTGGTAACCAACGTGTCCGAAGCCCAAAACGCTCATCCCCAGGACGAAAGTTTTTTTCCTCTTGGGCCCAGAACGACGGTGTGAAGTCTTGAGCAGACCCGCGTGAGATAACCGCCGTCGGATCTCATGAAGCTCGCGCGGATCCAAATGTGGCTTTGGGGTCTGTTTCGGTGGATCCGATTTCCGTCCGTACGGATCCGATTTCGGATTCGCTGGATCCGTGTCCGGTCTTATGTTTTACGGCGGATCCGATTTCTACCCTGTTTTAAATTCATATTACTAAAAGAAAACAGGGAGCCAGAAGAAATCGGTCCGCGGACCCCGCAAACCGCCCGTGTTAAGATTCTACGGGGGACGGGGGGTTCGGTAATTAACTTTCCACGATGGGCACTGCGTCGTCTCGTGCACTCCCATCAGCTCCCCGCGCGAGCGGGTGCCGTTCAAAATGGATACATACATCCCTCTCACCCCAGCTGCTGCAAGCAACTCGTCTGGTCGCCGTCCGTTCCGGCGCCGACGTTGTCTCGCGAACTCCTCATGGCATTTTCACCTCAAGAGGAAAATCTTTCGTCCTGCGTAAGTGCGTTTCGGCCCTGCGTCTCCTCACCCAACGGACTGCCTGTGAGATGTGGTGTCGGCTGTGCGGTAACAACGGATTGCGTGTGAGATGCGGTGTGTCGGCTATGTGGTGACCAACGTGTCCGAAGGCCACAACGCTCAGGTGCGTTTCGGCCCTGCGTCTTCTCACCCAACGGACTGCCTGTGAGATGTGGTGTCGGCTGTGCGGTAACCAACAACGGATTGCGTGTGAGATGTGGTGTGTCGGCTACGTGGTAACCAACGTGTCCGAAGCCCAAAACGCTCATCCCCAGGACGAAAGTTTTTTCCTCTTGGGCCCCGGAACGACGGTGTGAAGTCTTGCGCAGACCCGCGTGAGATAACCGCCGCCGGATCTCATGAAGCTCGCGCGGATCCAAATGTGGCTTTGGTGTCTGTTTCGGTGGATCCGATTTCCGTCCGTACGGATCCGATTTCGGATTCGCTGGATCCGTGTCTGGTCTTATTTTTTTACGGCGGATCCGATTTCTACCCTGTTTTAAATTTATTGTATTATTAACTTAAAACAGGGAGCCGGAAGAAATCGGATCCGCGGACCCCGCAAACCGCCCGTGTTAAGATTCTACAGGGGATGGGGGTTCGGTAATTAACCCTCCACGATGGGCACTGCGTCGTCTCTCGTCTCGTGCACTCCCATCAGCTCCCCGCGCGAGCGGGTGCCGTTCAAAATGGATACATACATCCCTCTCACCCCGGCTGCTGCAAACAACTCGTCTGGTCGCCGTCCGTTCCGGCGCCGACGTTGTCTCGCGAACTCCTCATGGCATTTTCACCTCAAGAGGAAAATCTTTCGTCCTGCGTAAGTGCGGTTCGGCCCTGCGTTTCCTCACCCAACGGACTGCCTGTGAGATGTGGTGTCGGCTGCGCGGTAACCTTCAACGGATTGCGTGTGAGATGCGGTGTGTCGGCTATGTGGTAACCAACGTGTCCGAAGGCCACAACGCTCAGGTGCGTTTCGGCCCTGCGTCTTCTCACCCAACGGACTGCCTGTGAGATGTGGTGTCGGCTGTGCGGTAACCAACAACGGATTGCGTGTGAGATGTGGTGTGTCGGCTACGTGGTAACCAACGTGTCCGAAGCCCAAAACGCTCAGTGCGTTTCGGCCCTGCGTGTCCTCACCCAACGGACTGCCTGTGAGATGTGGTGTCGGCTGTGCGGTAACCTTCAACGGATTGCGTGTGAGATGCGGTGTTTCGGCTATGTGGTAACCAACGTGTCCGAAGGCCACAACGCTCAGGTGCGTTTCGGCCCTGCGTCTTCTCACCCAACGGACTGCCTGTGAGATGTGGTGTCGGCTGTGCGGTAACCAACAACGGATTGCGTGTGAGATGTGGTGTGTCGGCTACGTGGTAACCAACGTGTCCGAAGCCCAAAACGCTCATCCCCAGGACGAAAGTTTTTTCCTCTTGGGCCCGGAACGACGGTGTGAAATCTTGAGCAGACCCGCGTGAGATAACCGCCGCCGGATCTCATGAAGCTCGCGCGGATCCAACTGTGGCTTTGGTGTCTGTTTCGGTGGATCCGATTTCCGTCCGTACGGATCCGATTTCGGATTCGCTGGATCCGTGTCCGGTCTTATTTTTTACGGCGGATCCGATTTCTACCCTGTTTAAAATTCATATTATTAAATTAAAACAGGGAGCCGGAAGAAATCGGATCCGCGGACCCCGCAAACCGCCCGTGTTAAGATTCTACGGGGGATGGGGGGTTCGGTAATTAACTTTCCACGATGGGCACTGCGTCGTCTCGTGCACTCCCATCAGCTCCCCGCGCGAGCGGGTGCCGTTCAAAATGAATACATACATCCCTCTCACCCCGGCTGCTGCAAACAACTCGTCTGGTCGCCGTCCGTTCCGGCGCCGACGTTGTCTCGCGAACTCCTCATGGCATTTTCACCTGAAAAGGAAAATCTTTCGTCCTGCGTAAGTAAATACTGCCCGCAATTGTGAGCACCATCGTTGTGGGTCCCGCCTTCGGCGGACCTCCCTCTGGGGCCGGAAACTGGGCGAGGCTGCCATGCGGGCCCTGCCACTGGCCACATGCGAACCCTGCCGCTGGGACCTTCGGTGGAGCTCCCAATGTGGCCACGAAGCGCGTGAGAAGTGTGCCGAAAGGGGCGGGGAACCGCATGCGAACATGAACAATGAAGCCTTACGTGGAGCTCCCCGTGGGGCCATGAATCGCCTGAGGGTTGTGCCGAACTGGGCGGGGCGGCCACATGCGAACATGACCACTGGGGCCTTGGGTGGAGTCCCTATGGGGCCACGAAACGTCTGAAGGGTGCCGAGATGGGCGGGGCGGCCACATGCGAACATGGCCACTGGGGCTTCAGGTGGGGACGCCTATGGGGGCACGATGCCGACATGGGTGGGGCGGCCACATGTAAGCATTGCCACTAGGGCCTTTGGTGGAGCTCCAGATGGAGCCATGAAGCCTGCGAGGGGTGTGCCGAAATTGCTGACATGCGGAGGGCAGAGGCAAATATGGTAGGGGGGGATGGGAGGAGGGGGAGTAGGAGAACCCGATACCGCAAGATGGCTGGGGAAAAACTGCGCTGACAGATCCGGAGCACGCGCGGCCACCCCACGGTCAGTGGGCAGTGGTTTCTGAGAAGGACGGCGGGGGTGCTGGCACACTGCTGCTGTTTGCAGGCCCACCAAAAATCCATGATAGCCTCCCCGTCGCGATTGCGCCTTGGTTTTCGACAGGGATGGTGGGGGCCGACATGTTTTCCGATGTGTGCTGTCACGTGCGCGGGCGCACCTGGCACACTCTGCGCGTGCCCTTAACGTGGCGCCCCTGGCGCGGCTGGACCATGCGGCACACATGGCGCACGTGGCACATCTGGCGCGTCAGGCGTGTCTGGTACGCTTGGGCCCCAGGGGTGCCTGGCGCGCGTGGCGCGCCTGGCACGCGTGGCGCACCTCGCCCCAGCGTCTCGCACGTGGGGCCTCTGTTTGGGTTTCCAGTAGCTGTCAATGTATAGACGACCGCTGAATAGAAGACTCGGGTGTTACTTCTGTGTTGGGATGGCGGGTGGGAGTGAGCGAGACAGCTTGCGAGCGGGAATGCTTCCTTGACCCCTCCCCGTCTCCCCTCCCCTGGACGTGGACGGGGGTGGGGGTCGCAGTCGTTAAAGCGTCCAAGAGACATCGGCGAGAAAACAGAAGTCATTGATGTTACTCAGGTGTGTGGTGCATGTTAGCCTCCAGGGGTGGCAATGCTAATTGGCTAATCGCCCCCCCTTCTTTGATCGAGTTCCTCCAAGATGGCCCCCAGAGGGCCCTAAGAGGCGCCCGGGAGGCTCCAAGAGGCGCCCACGAAGTACCCAAGAGGCTCCTTAGATACCCCCGAGAGGCCCCAACAGGCTCCCCCGAAGCACCCAAGACGCTACAAGAGGCCCGCAGGACCGCCAAGAGACTCCCAAGAGGAATCCAAGAGTCTCTCAAGAGACACCCGACGAGACTCCGAGAAGCATCCAAGAGGTAACTGGCCAATATGCTCGCCCTCCTGCTCCTCCTCCTCATCATCCAACTAGTGCTGTGGACCAACTCTCGTCTTACAGTGGAAAATGTTGCTGCAGATCGTGGGCCAAGTCACATCGTGGCGGGGAATGATGTAGCGGAAGCTCTGGCTGGCAGTGCGGCGCAGGCTGCAAGAGTGTCGGAGCTGGGCAGGTATCGAGTCAGGAGGATCGAGGCGGAGGCCCACCAGGTGAGGCTCAGGCTGGTCAGCGCCACCATCGACGCGATGGACGCCGAGGCGGAGCTGGCCAAGCAGCAAGGTTCGAGGAAAAAGAAACTGACGCCACCTCCGCCTCATTACCCCCTCCCTCCGCACTGAAATCCTTTGCCAGTGGCAACAATCGATGACTGTGGCAAACGATCTAAACCCTGTTGTAGCTCAACATCTTTGGCCACGAAAGAGCGGCTGGACAATATTTGCTTCCACCCTGACAAGGTTAGTTTACACATAGCCGGGGCGGGGACCATAATAGTCGCAGAATGCGTTTGCATCGTGGTTTGAAGCTGCGGCTCTGTGCGAGCTGTGGATTTTATGCGTGCAATATGATCTCGGGACCCCGAACGCGAACCGAAGCGATTATTCAAGTCGGATCGAGTCCGACCGATGACCAACGGCTTTAAACAAGGCCGCCAAGCGCGCTCGCAAGCGTTCGTAGTTAGTTTTCGACTCGCATCCCGGTTGCTCTCACTCACTCAATCAATCCTCCCTCCTCCTCCTCCTCCGATTCCTCTTTAATCCTCCCCTTCTTGGGGTAAGACGGCTTAGCCAACCATTAATTTAACTGCATGGTCCTCCACATCCCTGACCAGGGCAACTCGCCTGGGCATTGTTTTTCGATGGGCTAGTGGGGTTACGCGAAGCTTTTCAGGGCGCGGTCATACCAAACTTGAGTATTCCCAGCCGCACCTCATCCATGGGCCTATCAACTGGACGACCAACCAGCGAGGCAACTGTGAATTTCGAACCGTAGCGTTAAGCAGAGAGCAGTGCGACATATACTCCTGAGAAAGTCCGGTGGTTATGCAAAGCGAACGTCGTGTAACTCAGATGTGATCCACGCAAACGCTCGATTCGCCAACGATTCAGCATGGACAGGAGGCAAGAAGAGACCGCCGAAAGCTCTGCCGGTCGAAAGGAATCGTAGCAACTTCGCATGGACAGGGGAGAGGAGGGACCGCCGCAGGGAGACATCGGGTGCCAGACGAAACACGATTGTAGCAACTTTCACAGAAACATCGGGTGCTTAGGGACGACGGAGGAGAGGAAGAGGGAGAAAGGAAGGGATGAGAGAACCAGAGGAAAGCCTAGAACAGTGCGGTGAAGGACGGGAATGGGGGCCCGCGGCGCTGCCCAGGATTGGCGGCGAGCCCAGGGGGAAGCGAGAGGGGGCAAACCTTCTCAGACGGCGGCGGGGCTTCTCAAAAGCCCTCTGGCCTTCTGAGAACCGTTTGTCTATGGAGTCACGATAAGGTACCGTGCGGTGACCTCGAAATCCCTCAAGACCTGACCGCACGGTCCGTCAACGCACGGTCTTGGGATCCCGGAGGCCCCTGTCGCCCGAGACGTCCTCGGAGAACGACCCGAGTCCCAAAACCGTGCGGTGACCCCGAATCCCCACCGACTCACCGCACGGTGCGGTCACCACACCGCTTGGGGCCCCCCGAAAAGCTTAGGAAACTTCTCAGAAGGCTGGAGGCATTCCGAGCTTTCAGAGAAGGCCCGCCCCCTTCTGCTCTCCCACCCCCCCAGGCTCGCCACCGACGGGAAGGGGGAGAACGAGGGGGGGGAGCAGGAGGAGGAGGAGGAGGAGGAGGTGAGGACGAAGAGGAGGAGTACGAGGTGAGGGCGAAGAGGAGGGGGAGAACGAGGAGGGGGAGCAGGAGGAGGAGGCGAGGACGAAGAGGAGAGAACGGCGAGGCGGAGGAGGGTGGATGGCCATCGTTCGACGAGCGCGTTCCACTGCTCGCGAAGTAACTGCTCGCAAGTGTCCTGGATCCGCCGCGGGGGATCTACGAGAAATGACATCAGAGCAGGCCATGTGTAGTTCGGACGTTCGCGAGCAGGCACTTTGCGAGTAGTGGAGCGCGCTCGGTGAATTGTTGGCGGCAACCTCGCGAACTCACTCAGCACGTGCGGCTCAGAGTGGGAAAATCTGGAGCGCTGTGGTCCCTGCGGTCGCAGGGCGACGGAGCGCTCTGGCTGGCCACAGCCGTGCCCCTCCCCTGGCTTTTCTTCCGCCACCAGCAGCACCACTGCAGAACGAGAGAGAGAGAGAGCGAGGGAGGGGTAGAGAGAGAGAGGACGGGAAAGAGAGAGAGAGAGAGGGAGAGCGAGGCAGGGAGAGTGAGAGAGGGAGGAATAGAGAGAGAGAGGAGAGAAAACAAAACAAAGAGAGCAAGATGGAGAAGGGACATACTGAGAAAGAGAGAGAGAGAGAGGGAGAGCGCGAGACGGAAAGAGGACGACGATCAAGAGCTAAAGTGAGACGGACAGTGAAACAGGCAAGGCGCATGCGAATCAACGTCACAGGCCGCACAGGAGAGCGGACAACACCGAACTCTTGACGTTGAGCACGCCGCCCGAGAGCGCCGAGAAGACGACTGCTATGAACATGCGGGTCTCCTTGCCGATGATAGTAGGGCGACGAAATCTATACATATCCACTGCTGCATGGCCAGGCCCATCCTGAACCCAGCAGCGATGTATACGCCACGCCCTCCCCGCTTGGCAAAGAAGGCGTATACCCAGATCCTGGGCCAAGGGGGGGCCAAGCCAGGCGGCAGTGGATATGTATAGATTTTGTCGCCCGAGATAGGCCGCGTATTCTCCTCTTGTTCATCCTCCGACACAAGCGCCCCGGACGCCGGCCCCTCGCCCACCTCGCACTCCCGCGGCATCGTCGCGAAGCCAACCGCGAGAAGGCACGCTGCGATGATGAGGCAGAGGATGGCCACGTCCACTATGCAGAACATGTCCGCCACCGCGCTTGCAGCGGTCGGTGTGCGTCGGGCCCGTCCGCCCGTTGCGAAGCAATGGTTCAGCCCCCCCCCCCCCGCGACGCACCGAGTCCAAGATGCGTTCACTGATGCGGCCGAGCCCCTGTGCTTTTGGCCCTCCAGGCAGAAGTGGTCCCAGATACAGTCGGGGCCTTGACCTAAGGAACCCAAAATAAGGAACGAGGCCCCTTTTTTCCATAAGTTCAACTTCGATTTCCCATCGGAAACATAAGGAAAACCTGAGGCAAGCTGTGAAACACTTAAGGAACGCGGAGCCCCTCCCCAACGAAAAGGGTTCCTTCTTCAGGGCCCCGACTGTACAGAGCTTTGGGCAGGGGGGGGTCCATGTACCCTCGCCCTTCCCCCCGCCCCTCTGCGGCAATTCATGAGAGCCTCCCATGCCATCTTGCTGGCGCCTGCGACTCAGCGCTAATTGACGCTGAATCGACGCTGGTCGACGGTGATCGACGCCCATCGACGCTGCATCGGCGCGATCTCATCGCTTACCAGACGCTGATCGACGCTAGTGCACTCTGAAGAGGGAACTGCGAGGGTATACACCGCTCCGATGATTTGCTACCCCACGCACACAAAGCCGCACCTAGACGGCGCATTGGCACGGAAATGTTACGAACTCGCACATGCAGGAACACAACTCAAAAATAACTACGCCATGCAGGGGGAAAGGTATGCAATGACCAGCAATCATTGGACTTGGTGACCCGCTGTTCGGTACCCTGAAAGCGACAATCTCCATGGGGGAGTGGGGAGGGCTGCCGTCCGGGTTTGCGTTTCCCATAATTCAACATCTTGAAAAAGGCGAATTATGGGAAACGCGATCCTGGACGACTGCCCCCAGCACAAAGTGTACGGGAAACGCGATGTTCCCAGAATTCGAATTCTGAATCATGGGAGACGCGATTTCCCTTAAAGAAACAACGCACCATGAGCCATGAGCCACAATCGCGTTTCCCCTAATTGACAAGGGGAAGGGGAGGGAAAGGCGAGGAGGAAGGGGACCCCGCCCCCCCCCGCCCGACGGAGCGCGGCGGTGGAATCGCGCGGCAGCGCAGCTGGATACCCCGCGTCGTTCTCCTCAAAAGGCCGCCGCGGCGGCTCGCCGACGGCGACGGTCAAGCTCTGGACGGCCTCCTGGACGCACGCCCCCACGTCCGCCAGCGCCGAGCGGAAGAACCTGGCAGGAGCAATCGGCGTCGAACCCAAGGGCTCCCAACTTCGCGCTCCGCGCTGCGCGAGAGCGCGAAGCGCGAAGAACTTCGCGCTCTCGCGCCGCCTCCCAGGGGAGGCGAGGAGGATGAAGAAGAATCGGAGCCGAACCGCGAAGCACGAATCCGACCAGCCGTAACTGGGGGAGCTGTGGTCCTTACCCCCCTGGGGGAACCCATCGCGTCGACGATCTCTCGAGAGGGGTGTCGAAATCGATGGGTCCCCCAGGGGGGTAAGGACCACAGCTCCCCCAGTTGTGGCTGGCCTGACGAATAAATTCGCGCCCTCGAGGGCGCCCTTGGGATCGAATCGGAAAGTGCGTCGGATCGGGCTGCATCGGCACGGAATCGGCACCGCATCGGAGCGGCCACGTCGAGGTGCACACCAGCGCCATGCAAGCATGGGGCCGCAGCTGATCGTCAGCATATCGGAGTCGAAGCGGATTCAGCGGGCCCAAACCCGTTTCGAGTCGGTAGGGAGCCCACAAAGGACGTACGCGCCCAGCTATGTACACGAACGCGGCCCCTCGACCCGCGAGACCGTCCGCGCGATACGAGCATTCGCGCAATGCGAACTCTCGAAACCAACGTGGATTCATGTACGTGTACGTGTACGTCCTTCTTTCGCTCCTGAGTCGGGTCGATCGGATCGGAATGGGCCCTGACCTGGCGAGGCCCGCGAGGAGCCGGGGGAGGAGCGAGCCGGTGGCGAGCGGGGTGCCCTCCGCGCCCGTGCGGGCCGAGGAGCCGTCCGGCAGGGCCTCGAGCTGCAGGGCCACGGACGCCGCCACGGTCACCACGGTGCACGCCACGTAGCCGTGGAGGCCATGGATAGGGGGCCAGATGCGAACCCTCCCCCTCAGAAATCGTGGGGGGTAGGGGTAGGGTTCGCATGTGGCCCCCTAATGGAGGCGCTGCCGTCGCTTGCGGCGGTTCTCAAAGCCACCTCCCGCGCTCACGCACCCCCGGGCGGCCCGCGGGGCCTCTGCCTCGGCGTCGCCCGAGGAGCTCGATGGCGTGCCCTGGGCCAGCTTCGCCTCCGATGCACAGCAAGCGTCCATGGGGAGCGACGTATATGTAAGTGAGTGTCAGTATCGAGAATGGGCAGAATGGGAATGAATGCCGGTGGTCACTGGGCTCTGAGAGGCGCCCAGCGAATGTCAATAAAGGAATCCTCTCCTACGCGCGGCTGGAAGATCCACCCAACCTCTGTGTTGTGCGGCCCGGAACTCATTTGAACTGCTTGAGCCTAAATTTTTAAATGGCTCCGTGTGGTGATGACGGTCATGCTGATAATGGTGATGACGACGGAAGGGGCCTTGGGACACACAAATAAACAGACACAAATGACAGGATTCCCCATATTTTTCATATTTTGTGGATTTTCGTCTTCCACCCACTTCCCATATTGTCTGGGGAATCGATGACTTATTGTGTCTGTGTTTTTCCCTCCTGAATGATCACCCAGAAGATGGCGCTAGAGGCCCCCAAGAAGCCTCCACACGGCCCCCAGGGGCCTCCAGGACGCTCCACAACGGCAAGACTCTTATACTCTGCTCGTTCCAGGCGTGCATCCAGCGAGGCGATCTGAAATCTGCAAGGCGAATTACCACGAGCGAGGCATGCTTGGAGAAGGGGCAGGAGGGAGGAGAACGAGGAGAAACACAGTGCGGGCGCGGTCGCAAGAAACCCAACCCTGAAAACCCGCGCGCAAGGTGCACCTGAGAGCACCCTGAACGCAGCAGCTACTTTGACGGCCGCGGGAAGTCACCACGCAGCGCGCGGAGCGAAGAAACCAAGGGTACCCTGACGAACATCGCATGGCTTCTGGATGCGCGCCACCACTGCATCAGAAAAATTGAAAGGGAAGAGCAGCGCGCGGACGGAAGAAGGCCGAAAGCGCCGCACCCCCATCCGAACCGGCGCCGATTCCAGCTCGATGCTTCCTTCCTGAGCCAGTGCCCCCTACCAAGACCCCCGACGTCGTCGCCATTTTCTCTCAGCGTGGACCCCCGAAAGGTCCGACCCACTCCCCAGGACCGGCGTTCTATCCCGAGTCGCTGTTTGACGGTCCTGGCGCCCAGCGAGGGCCCCCCGGAGGCCGAAAGCGACGAAGCATAGACGCCCTGATCCCGACCAGCCATAACTGGGGGGGAGCTGTGGTCCTTACCCCCCTGGGGGAACCCATCGCATCGACGATCCCTCGAGAGGGGGGTCGAAATCGATGGGCCCCCCCAGGGGGGTAAGGACCACAGCTCCCCCAGTTGTGCCCGGCCTGTTGATCTTTGTCGGTGTGCCAGAGGCCTGGCCTCGCCCCCCCGGCCGAGACGGGGCCCCCCGGCAGCGCCCGAGAAGACACGCAGCGGAGGGACGAGGCGGCTGGCGAGGCGCTCCGCCCCCCCGAGATCCTCCTCCTTCTCCTCCTCCTCCTCCTCTTCCTCCTCCTCCTCCTTCTCCTCCTCCTCCTCCTCCTCCACCTCCTCCCCATCTCCTCCTCCTCCTCCTCCTCCTCCTCCTCTCCTCTCCTCCTCCTCCTCCTCCTCCTCTCCTCCTCCTCCTCCTCCTCCTCCTCCTCCCCCTCCTCCTCCTCCTCCTCCTCCTTGGGTCGCCCTCGGCTCCGTGGGAAACCGCACTCAGCGCTGAGATGGGCCGCTCGACGTGCCTCGACGAGGCCATCAAGAGCCCCAGTAGACCTCGAAGAAGAGCCACGAGGCCCACGAGCCACGAGCGGCATGCGAAGGGCTCACATCCCAGGGAGCCACTGCGTCCTCATACCGGCGGGCCGCAAGATTTCCGACGATGCTCCGAGGAGCCCGCGAGGGAGGCCGCTGGAGCCCCCTTTGGACCCATCTTGGGCACTTCTGGGGACCTCCCATGGCCCTTTTGGGTCTGTGCTGGGAGCCCTTGGGGGGCCTCTTGGTTCCATTATGGGCTGTCTTGGGGCTCTCGTGGGCGATCGTGGGGCCCGGCTCGGCCGTCTTGAAGCTTTCTAGGGGGCCTTTTGGAGCGTCTTGAGGCGATCTCGGGGCTTTGAAACCGTCTTGAAAGCTGATGAAATCCGAAAGGCGAATATGCTAAAATTGTAAGTTTTACGAAGGGAATGGGACGATTTTTGTGTTTGAAGGCCCCTTGGAAAGCTTTTTGGGGTGCCTTGGGGGTCTTTATGTTGGCATTCGGAAACATCGTGGGGGTGTTTTCGGGGCCCTCGTGGGCCGTTTTGGCGCCTTCATGGGCCGTCCTGGGGCCTTCTTGGGCCGTCTTGGGGAGCTTGGGCCCGCTGGAGCCCCCTTTGGACCCATCTTGGGCACTTCCGGGGACCTCCCATGGCCCTTTTGGGTCTGTGCTGGGAGCCCTTGGGGGGCCTCTTGGTTCCATTATGGGCTGTCTTGGGGCTCTCGTGGGCGATCGTGGGGCCCGGCTCGGCCGTCTTGAAGCTTTCTAGGGGGTCTTTTGGAGCGTCTTGACGCGATTCCGGGGCTGAAACCGTCTTGACAGCTGATGAAATCCGAACGGCGAATATGCACAAATTGTAAGTTTTACGAAGGGAATGGGACGATTTGTGTGTTCTGAAGGCCCCTTGGAAAGCTTTTTGGGGTGCCTTGGGGGTCTTCATGTTGGCATTCGGAAACATCGCGGGGGTGTTTTCGGGGACCTCGTGGGCCGTTTTGGCGCTTTCATGGGCCGTCCTGGGGCCTTCTTGGGCCGTCTTGGGGAGCTTGGGCCCGCTGGAGCCCCCTTTGGACCCATCTTGGGCACTTCTGGGGACCTCCCATGGCCCTTTTGGGTCTGTGCTGGGGGCCCTTGGGGTGCCTCTTGGTTCCATTATGGGTTGTCTTGGGGCTCTCGTGGGCGATCGTGGGGTCGGGCTCGGCCGTCTCGAAGCTTTATTGGGGGCCTTTTGGGGCATCTGGAAGCGATTTCGGCGGCTTTGAAACCGTTTTGAAAGCTGATGAATCCGAACGGCGAATATGCAAAATTGTAAACTTTGCGAAGGGAAGGGGACGATTTTTGTGTTTTGAAGGCCCGTTGGACAGCTTTTGGGGGTGCCTTGGGGGTCTTTATGTTGGCATTCGGAAAGAAGGCGGGGGGGGTATGACGGGACGCCCCCCCCCCCGCCGCGTGGCTCTGGCACCACAACCGCGCCCGCGCGCACGACGCGACGAGCGACGAGCGACGAGCGACGACGACGACGCGAGCAGCATGTAAGTGGCGATCTGCCCATTGCGCCTGTGTACACCACAACTGAAGAGAGAAACTGCTGATGCTTTTCTCAGTCCGATCCAAGCCGAAAGCCTCTGGGGCCAAATGGCTATCGTACACAGAATCCGACGGTGCCCTATCTCTGCACTCCTCCTTGGCAACTAGCCCCTCGGCTAGGCAGCCACCACCAGGCACCGTCTCGCCGCGCAGGCCGGTCGTGCAAGGCGTCGCGAAGCGACAGGAAAATGATGGGACAGGCAACGTGCCCGTCTCGAAAAGCTGGCACAGCACCCCGCTCATGAACCTCACGTCGCCGATCTCTTGGCGATCGTCCGGTGCAGGGCGCTCCACCTCGACCTGAAGTGGTAGCCCATCCTCTTGAGATGCTTCTGGACCACCTTCGCCGGCAACGGCTTGGTCAGGGAGTCGGCTACGTTCTCCCGTGTGTCGACCTTCTTGAGTATGATCCTTCTGGCCTTGACCGCGCTCTGAAGCCACAGGTATCTCGTCATAACATGCTTCTGGCGGCCCAGGCCCTGGCGCGATGCGAAAGCGATCGCCGCCGTCGAGTCCCCGCAGACCTCTATCGGGAACTCTCCGTGCTTGCAGACGACCTCGACGCTCTTCTCGAGTCCGAGGTCCACGGCGATGGCAGCAACCTTGAGCGCGGCAGCAGCCGCGCGGAGGATGCCGTAGTACTCAGCCTCACCGCTCGAAAGAGACACCGTGCTCTGCAGCGATCCCGTGGCTGACAGAGTGTGCTCCCCGAACGCCAAGACCGTCCCGCTCGTGGACTTCCTGGTGATGAGGCGCCCCGCGTAATCCGAGTCGCAGGTGGCCGTGATCCTGTCCGGCATCTCCTTCTTGTTGAACCTCGCGACTAGACACGGATGCTTGACGAGGTACATCCCTAGCCTCTTGACCATCATCATGTCTGCTGACGTCGGCGCCTGCATGCGCCTCAAGCACTGCTTGAGTGCGTCCACGATGTCCGGCCTGTCCAAGGTAAGATAGGCAGCACGCATCACCACGCTTCGATACCGACGAACCTCGTCCGGGGGCAGCGTGCTGAGCTTGGCCTCGTAGTCGATGTCCGCCTCCGTCTTCTTGACCGACGGCACGTCCAAGCCCTTCGACTCGCTCTCGAGGCCCAGCTCCTTGATCAGCAGCTCAACGTGCCTCTGGTCCGACTCGATCTGCACCGCCGGGGTGGAGCCATCAACGTACCTTGAGGAACGCGACCTCCTTCGCGTCCCCACTGTCGGGACCCAAGATCCCGGTGCACTTGATGTCGTAGCGCTCGGTCAGCTTCGTCTCGATCTCCTTCAGCGTAATCTCGTCGCCGAGCACCATGAAGTCGTCGCCGTGAGCCACGCCCATGCGCCACGATACTTCCAAGAGCTGTCGACTCCAGTCGCTCTGCCACACTGAAGCCGCGTCCTGAGTACCATACATGGAACGTAGCAGCCGAGCGACTCCTCCTCCCTCCTCTTCAGGAAGACGAACGAACAAGATCCTCTGGGCGTCCCCGTACAGGCGCGCCCTGCTGACGTCCCAGAAGCCGATCTTGAGGGGGAGTCCTCGGGGCGAGCGGCTCATCGAGACCATGAGCGAGCACAGGAGCTTGACCGCCTCCAGCGGCGGCGTGCTGCTGAAGAGCTCGCTCGCGCTCATCTGCTCGGACGCCTTCTTCGCAGCCTTGATCTCCATCGCGACCAGTCTGGAGCGGTACTTAGGCCTCTGCTCGTCGCCCTTGTTGGTGTCGACCCAGCGCGTCCGTAGCGGCGCCCGAGCGGTCAGGCGCCTGCAGGTCTCCTCGTCGCTCGGCTCGAACACCTCGCGATGCTTCATCCAGGCCAGCTCCTCCTGGCGCGCGGCCCGCACTCCCGCAGGGTCGAGCCAGCCCCCGTTGACGTCGTCCCAGTACAACTTGTCCGACTCAGCTGCACCTGGAGGGGCGTCTGGCTTGAAGTACTGTGCCTCCTCGTCTGGCACCGGTCCGACGCCCTCGAACGAGTTGATCTCGCCCGCGATCTCGAGCTCCTCCTTGAGCCCCTGCAAGATCGCGCGGCGTAGCGAAGGCGTGTAGGCCTGCGCCTTCCTAGCACGGCCTCCTCCAAGTAGCGGTACGTGTCGATGTCCTCCAGGACAACAGACTGCTAGCACCCTAGCAAGGCGCTCGTTGTTGGTCAGCCAGCCGGTGCTCTTCTTGACCGGCCCGACCTTCCCGTCGTCGCCCTTGAGCTCTAGGCCCCAGGCGCACATGTCCCCTCGCACGAGGTACACCCCAGGGAGCGAGACCACCCTCTTCACTGCCTCGTCGTCCCACGACTTGGCGTCCCAAGGGTGCTCGTGCAAGAACCACCTGCCCTTGGCGTGCCTATCCTTGTAGACCTCCATCCCGACGCGCAGCAACTCACGATCGCCCCCCTCGGCCTTGGCGTGCGCCTCCGGGTCCTTGTACTTGCCGCGGTTCAAGCTCGTCAGCTTCGAGACGCGCGTGCAGGGCGGCGCCCCGATGACCAAGTAGGGGTCCTGGTCCTCGAGCGCCTGCATGTACCTCTGCTGGTTCACGACCTTCCTCATGTCCAGCGCCTCCTGGGACTCCCGGTCCTTGAGGCTGATGTCTGCCGCCAGCCCTGGGAGCATGCCAAACTCCCCAGCCAGCTCAGTGAAGCACCCCGGGTTGCAGTACTCCGAGAACGCGAGCGCCTGCAACTCGAGCGGCACCTCCTCGAGTCCGCCCGTCTCCATGGCAGCAGGTCCAGCGCCTCCTGGGCCTGGTGCTGCCGCCGCCGGCGCCGGGCCTCCTGAGCCCGAAGCCGCCGCAGATGCTGGCGCTGGGCCTCCAGGACCCGCGGCCGGCGCAGGGGGCGCGGGTGGCCCTCCTGCACCTCCTCCTGATGGCCCCGGGGCCGCGCCCCGAGGGTCCACCGCCATAGGCTGGGGGGCTGCACGCGCCTCCTGGGGCGGCTGCTCCTCCTCGCGCCTCCTGACGCGCGGCGCCGAAGACCCCGCGGGCGGCGGCTCCGCCCGCGCCTGCTTCGCGCCTCTCCTGCCCTCGAGATCTCTCGGGGCTGGTGGGGGAGGCGGCGCGGCGGCGGCTGCTCCTGGCGCCGCTCGGCCTGCCTCGCCTCCTCTCGCCTGCTCCTCCTCAGCCGCCTTCGCCACTCTGAACCGGCGAAGTCGCTCGTCACCTCGGGCCGCCAGCGCCTCAACCACGCGCTGTCGGCACAGCTCAGAGTGGGCAACTCCTGCGCGCCCAGTGGCCACCAGGTTCTCGCAGGCGACGCAGCCCTCGGTCGGCCCGATGCCCGCGTCCAGGATGTTGGCCCTGGTGACGTAGAAGCCCACGTCTCGAGACTCGGCGGCTGCTGGCAGCGCCACCACCACTGGCGCCTCCATGCGCCCAGCTCTCGGGGCGACGTCCGCAGGAGCCGCCGCGTAGCGCTCCTCGCCGCCCTTCCAGTCCCAAGGCTTGCCTTTGAGCCCGAGGACCTCCTCCTCGTTCCAGGCCCAGCGCTCGGCGGGCGGCAGGCGTGAGATCGCCGCGCCGCGCTGCACCCCCTTCGAGGTGAGCACCAGCGCCGTGCCGCTCCTGGCGTGGCCCACGTAGTAGCCCGTGACCCAGCGGGGCTCCAGGTCTCGCTTGAGCGAGTCCTTCACCAGCTTCTTCACCTGGATGCGCTCGCCGAAGGGAACCGTCACCTTCTCCCAGCGCTTGCCAGACCTCCTCTGCTCACTCGTCTTGCCGTCGTCGCCGATCTTGAACCTATTCAGCATCTGGGCCGCATAGGTGGGGGCCCACAGCATCAGCGGGTGCCCGAACGGCAGACGCTGCTTCCACTTGGCCTGGGCTGACACCAGTACCGTCCTGACGACGCCCTTGATGACCTTCACCGCGTTCTCGGCTGCTCCATTCGCCTGGTGCTCTCCCACCGGGCTCTCGCGAAGCAGCAGCTCCTTACCCTCGGCCTTGCTGCAGACGTCCCTCTTGAGCGCCAGCAGCGGGTTCTCGCCGCCCGACTGGTAGATGCACCTCTTGTGGCCGATGTGATTGAAGAAGTCGACCGCCACGCCCGAGCTGAAGTCATCCTTCCCCTTGGCAGGGGCCGAGCTCGCACCGTAGCAGCCCGTCCCGCTCGGCAGGCAGTCGTGCATCACCAACACCGTGATCGCAGAGCTGACGTCGCGGCCTCTGCTGTCCGACTCGCTAGCGTTGAGGTAGCCGTAGTCGGTGGCGACCGTAGGGACCTCTCCCTCAGCAGGTTGATGTCCGCGATGCGCTTGGCCAGTCCCACGCGACGCACAGCGCGAAGGGCACCAGGACCTGAAGTGGACGTGGCCCTGCGCCTCGTGCTCCTCGATCTCGAGAGCGGTCGGCTGGGCGGGGCTCCTGGCCAGCCGAACCCGCGGCGGCCTGCCGCGCTGCTCTCGAGTCTCCTCCTCCTGGGGCAGCGGTCCTCCTCGCTGCTCCACCGGGGCTTCCGCGCCTCCTGCCAGCTGCCCGGCTGCTGGCGGCGCGCCCGGGCTTACGGTGGTACCCGCCGGCTGCCCCCCGACGCCTGCAAGGCGGGAAGACGGGCCGGCGAAGCAAGCCCCGCACGTGCTCGAGCGAGTAGATCCGCCTCGGCTCGGCGATGGGCCAGCTCCGACTCGATCGTGTTCAGCGGCAGCTGCTCCAGCTCCTTGGCCTTCTCCTCCGGCAGCTTCAGGTAGGCGTTGTACACACCGCGCTCCTGATGCAACCTGATGTTGTTCTCCAGCGCCCCCGCCTCCTTGAGCTCAGCGACCAGCTTCATGATCGCCCGTCCGGCAGTGGAACCCTTCTCAATCACCATGCCGCAGCTCTCGTCCAGGATGCCGATCCTCTTGTTGAGCATCTCGCTGGCCGAGATGAGGGGTTTGGTAACCGCAGCCCTGCGCCCGGCGATGCGCATCCTAGCGCCATTCTCGTTGATGCCTTCCAGCACGCCGCCGCCCTCGTCTGCGATGATACCACCACTCGCCGTCTTGAACCTCTGACTCGAAGGGGCCGAAGTCGCTGGAGTCCATTCGCGAGGGATCACCGAGCTCGCGCATCCGCTGTCGAAGTTGACCTCCACCCAGCCCTTGTCGTCCACGATCCTCCTGTTCACCTCCGTCGCGTTCTCTTCGCGCTCGGCGGAGAACAGCTCCAGGAACATGTGGTCCTCTGGCTCCCAGTTGCCAGAGGCCTCCTCCTCGGACTTCCCGACGTCCAGCGCGCCCGCGTCGTGCTTGCCGCCGCCCTTCGGCTTCTGCTTGCCCTCGGCCTTAGCCTTAGCCTTGGCGATCACCTCCGCCGAGGCAGACGGTCTCCAGCAGTCCGAGCTCTTGTGCCCTGAACGCCCGCAGTTCCAGCAGGTGAGGTGGGACGTGTCGGGCCCCTTGCCTGAGCCTGGGCCTGAGCCCTTGCCCCCCTTCTGTCCTTCCCTCTGCCAGTGCCCGTCTTGCCCTTGCCGCCCTTGCCCTTGCCGCCCTTCCCGCCCTGGTACGTGCGGACCAGGGCGCCGATGTCCATGGCGTTGGGGTCGCGCTGCGTCTTGGTGAGCACCGGGGCGCCTCGAAGTCGAGCACCCGTCCTGGCCTCCAAGTACGACGCGATCTCCCTCCTGAGCAGCTCGTACGTGTTCAGGCGGCTCTGGTTGAGGAGGACGTGTTCCTCGAGCTCCGCCGGTAGCAGGCTCTCCAAGGCAGACATGCGCACGCTGTCCGAGAGCCGCTCTCGGTTGCCGTCGTCGTCCCTCCTAGACTCATACCGTTTCACGGCCTCCTCCCACCTCTCAAGGGCACCCGCGAGCTCCTCGAGCTTGCAGCGCCCAGGCGAGAGGACCAGCTTCAACAAGTTCCGCTTCCGCCCGCCGGTGGAAGGGTCGAACCTCCTCGCCAGGCGCCTCCAGCACTCGAGCCCGTTGCCTTTGTCGACGTTCTGGGTGATGTCGAAGGGCTCGCCCGTCACGAGCTGCTGGATCGCCGTGTGCGGCTGAGCCACCATCTCGTCGATGTGGTCGATCTCGCCGTCACTGTGCGGGCCGAAGGCCGCCTGCCAGAGCCCACGGTCGATCGGGTCGTGCCTCTCAACGCTCCACTCCAGCACCGCCCTGAACTGCTCGCCGAAGACCCCGACTACGAACGACTCGAACTTAGCAGCCCATTCGCGGTACTTGGACTCCGACCCGTCGAACACTGATGGCTTGCCGATCCCTTTCGTGTCGACGAGCCTCTGGAACTGCTCGGGTCTACCCGTCAGGCGGGTCACTGCATCCACGAGGGCCGGGATAGCCTGGAGTCCACCTTGCTGCTCGCGCTGCAGTCTGGCGTTCTCTTCGCTCAGCCTCTGCACCTCTGCGGTCAAGGCCTGCATCTGTCGGAACAGCTCTTCGTTGGTCGCCATCTCATGCAGCGTCCAGCCAGCCAGCGAACTCCCTGTCGGTCTCTCAGACCGAGGATCCAACCAGGCTCCGCAATACCATGAAGAGAGAAACTGCTGATGCTTTTCTCAGTCCGATCCAAGCCGAAAGCCTCTGGGGCCAAATGGCTATCGTACACAGAATCCGACGGTGCCCTATCTCTGCAACAACGCTCGCGTGCACCACGCCGCGCGTGTGCACCACAGCGCCTGCGTACACCGCAACAGCCGTGTGCAAGGCACCGCCCGTGTGTACCACAATACTTGGGAACACTACAGCGCCGGTGCACATACGCCGCAGCAGCCATGTGCAACACAACGCCTGTGTACACATTCCTTGCGTGCACCGCAGCGCCTGTTCACGCCACTGCGCCTGTCTACACCACAGCATCCGCGTGCAACGCAGCGCTGGTGTACACCACAATGCCTGCGTGCATAGGAAAGCTAGAAGGAGCATGTACGTCAGGATCTGATGCGGACAGCTGAACGCCACGCCAGGAAAGTTCTGATACTCGAATGCGACGTTTTTCCCTCCTCCCTCCTCCTCCACCTCCTCCTCCTCCTCCTTGTCCTCCTCCTCCTCGTCCTCCTTTTCCTACTTCTTACCCTCTGTCGTGCGGCTTGGCGGCACAACGCACGTGCGCATCTCAGCGTGCACCGCAGAATGGTCGATTGAATCAGGCCACTTGGTTCTCGGACGGTCAGTTTAGCTGGAGCCTCCTGGACGCAAGTGGGAGTTAGGGTGATGCGGGCGGGTTCGGGGGGACTCGTAGATTCCAGCGGCGCTCCTTTGTCCATGAGGATTTGTTTTCCAGTGTTTTCTCTGGAACCCACACTCGCTCCATTTTGTCATAAGGATTCCTTTTGTTGAAATTCTATACACAACAATGGTGCTGTGTTGCACACGGCTGATGTGGTGCACACGGGCGCCGTGGCGTACACAGGCACTGCAATGCACGCAGACATTGTGATGTACACTGGTGCTGTGTTGCGCACGGGTGCTGTGGTGTACGGGGGCGCTGTGGTGTACACAGGAGCTGCTATCCCCCAGGCACGGTGGCACAAACTTACGCTGTGTCGCACGCGGTTGCTGTGGTGTACATCGGCGGTGTGGTGTACACAGGCGCTGTGCTGCACGCGGGCACGGTGATGTACACAGGCGTTGTGGTGCATATCGCCACCTACATGTTCGTGCTACCCGTCCTCCGTCAGTCCTAAACATTCCCAAACGCCGCCAGCGCGAAAAGTGACGTCATCGACCCCCTCCCCCCCCAAATGATTGCCGTCATCGGCCCGGACTTACAAACAGGCTCCAGCCGCGTCCGCGCGCACGACGACGATGAGCGACGAGCGACGAACCACGAGCGACGACGACGAACGACGACGACGACGACGACGACGACGCCTGCGGACCAGACACCTATGCGGGTTCCTACGCGGACACCTACGCGGATCCCAATGCGCACGGCGGCAGTGCCCGGAGCGCACTGGGGGGGGGGGGAGCGTTACGTCATAGGGGGGGGAGAGGGGGCCATGACGCCCGTCATGCCCCAAGCAATAAAGAAATTGCCTCAAACATCGTGGGGGTGTTTTCGGTGCCGTCGTGGGCGGTTTTGGCGCCTTCATGGGCCGTCCTGGGGCCTTCTTGGGCCGTCTTGGGGAACTTGGGCCCGCTGGAGCCCCCTTTGGACCCATCTTGGGCACTTCCGGGGACCTCCCATGGCCCTTTTGGGTCTGTGCTGGGAGCCCTTGGGGGGCCTCGTGGTTCCATTATGGACTGTCTTGGGGCTCGTGGGCGATCGTGGGGTCGGGCTCGGCCGTCTCGAAGCTTTATTGGCGGCCTTTTGGGGCGTCTGGAGGCGATCTCGGGGGCTTTGAAACCGTCTTGAAAGCTGATGAATCCGAACGGCGAATATGCTAAAATTGTAAGTTTTGCGAAGGGAATGAGACGATTTGTGTTCTTTGAAGGCTCCTTGGGAAGCTTTTTGGGGTGCTTTGGGGGTCTTTTGGGCCATCCTGACGCAATTGGAGTCCCTATTGGAGCGCTCTTGTGCTGTCTGGGGCCTCCCTTGAGCCTTTCTGATGACCCCTCGGATCGCTCTGGGTCTGCTGGCAAGGCGTTTGTGGAGACCCGGAAAGCCGGGTGACCTTTTCCAAGGACGTCCAAGGAGCCCGAGAACCCCAGATCCCGGGGGTCCAGTTTTGTGTGTGTGTGTGTGTCTGTGTGTGTGAGGGTTTTCCCCCCGGGCTTGCAAACAGATAGGAAGAGGAACACACACACACATATATATATATATATATATATATATATATATATATATATATATATCTGTATATGTATACATATTTATTTATGTATATAGATATACGTATGAAAGGTGTCTATATGTGTGCATACACATATGTGTGTGGGTATGTGCGTACACCCATGTGTTGCATGTGCGTATATGTGCTTATGTGTGGATATAGGATGTAGGAATATAGATGTATATATGCGAATCCAATGTCTGTGTGCATAAGCGCGTTGACACGAGCCCACAGGGGCCGCTGCTGTCGGCGAGGCTTGGCCGATGCAGACTGTTTGCAGCCCGACCCCCCGTACTTCCGCAGACGCCAAGGCACGCTCGAACAATGACCGAGTACCGCCCACGGGCGCGTCCTTCAGCGCCGCCCACTTCTCGTGGGGCACCCGTGCGGAGCCCGCGGTGGAGGTGTCGGATCCGCACACCGAGGGCGGCGTGCTCGGCGAAAGCGATCCTGCGCCAAGCGGGGCGCCAGAACTCCTGCGGGGGCCCGTGGGAGTTCACCCGCCGCGGGGCTGGCTCCAAACCGGCTCATCCTCCGCTCCTCTTCCCTCGTATCCCTCCCACACTCCGCTCTCCCTCCCTCCCTCCCTCCTCCAAACTCTCTCCTCATCCTCCTGTTCCTTCTTCTTATCCTCCTCCTCCTCCTCCTCCTCCACCTCCTCCTCGTTCTCCTCCTTCTCCAGTTCCTGCCACCTCCCACCTTCCTTGTCCTTCCCCTTCTCCAACAACCCCACCCCCCTCCTCACTCCTCCTCGTCAACAATCCTCTCCTCTTCTCTCTCCTCCTCCTCCTCCTCATACTCCTCCTCCTCCTCCTCCTCCTCCTCCTCCTCCTCCTCCTCCTCCTCCTCCTCCCCGTCGTCCTCCTTCACCTCCTCCTCATCCTCTTCCTCTTCCTCCTCCTTCTCGTCGTCCTCCTCCTCCAATCCCCTACGTAACCTCCCCGCTCATCCTCCGCATCCATCCTCTTCATCTTCCCTTTCCTCGCCCATTTACTCATCTTAGTGTTCCTCCTCCTCCTCCTCTTCCTCCTCCTCCTTCTCCTTCTCCTCTTCCTCATCCTCCTCCTCCTCCTCCTCCAATCCCCTAACCTCCCCCCTCATCCTCCGCATCCATCCTCTTCATCGTCCCTTTCCGTGCCCATGTACTCATCTTTGTCTTTGTCCTCCTCCTCCTCCTCCTCCTCTTCCTCCTCCTCCTGCTCCTCCTCCGCATCATTCTTCTCCTCGCCACCTCATCCTCCTCTTCGCCGTCGTCGTCCAGCTGAGGATGCAGATCGCACAAGCGCTGAGTTGCTCATGACCCAAAAGGTATATGACCACAGGACCTACGCGGCCGAAGCGCCGCGCGGTGCCCCACGGGGTCCCGTAGGCGACACGTGCCGCGTCGCGCACTGCGGCCGATCGGAAGGGAGGAACGGCGCGGTTGGCGGGACTTGGGGGGGGGCAGAA